GAGAAATGCCATGGTTTATTATTGCTACCTTAGACCAACTCCAACAATGGCTTATAACCTAAAATTCCTCTTCCCCCAAAACCCACTCCAACCCATGTGCTAGACAAAACGTAAAACCCAAAACTCAAAAGAAGGCCAGATACCGGCCCTTTTTTAGGCCAAAAGTCATTATGGGCCCTACCTGTTGTGAGTGAAACACGGGCTGTGAAGCCCAGATGCTTGAGCCACTCGCCCAACGCGCAGCAACGCGCCAGCCGGATTCCCACGGGGACCCCACCCACGTTTTCACTCTCCTGATTAATTGATAAGTAATTATTAATTGTTAATCGTTAATCATGATTCTCTTATGGGACACGTGTCAATCTTTAGAAAGGGTGGTAAACATATCTTAGAGTTTACCGTGGTGAGCATACCTTAGAGTGTAGGATGGTGAGTAAAAATGCTTATGAATTATTTCTGGATTAACTTCAAAGACTAAACTGAATTAGCTTGATATGAACTAAATAGTATAAGAATAATACAATATTTAATGCAGTGTTGAACTAATTCCACACGTCCCTTTCTTCTTCTCTCTACCAGTCCCGTCTACCTGACCTTTTTCTTTCTTTTTAATAATAGATTCTTTTTTCGGTTTACCGTAAAGGTTTAGTAGTCGATACTAAGACTTAAACGACCCCTTACCTTCCATGTTGCTTCCTTTCCTTTTCTTTTCACTTTCTCCTCTCTAAAAAACAGTGTTTTTTATGATATAATAGGAGTTCTTAAGACTTGAATTATTGTAATATCTCTTTGAGCTAATTTTTTAGGTGATCCCACCACTTATTTTGCCAAGAAAAAACTTTCATCACCCTTTTTTTCTCTTTTTTTTTCTTTTTACTTTTCTTTGCTGATGTGACTCCCCTAAATTATAAAAAATTTGACAAAAATGGTCCATTTTTGTCTTAATTGTACCAATGTATGCCATTTTAAAATAAGAAAGTTTATGAAAAGTTTTAAAAAGAATTATTTTAATGAAAAATGATAAATACAAGTGTAGTAAATAGTACCAGAAAAATGTAAAAAGTAATTTTTCGTTAAAAGTAAACAGTACATTATTTTAAAATAGCATATATTTTATGTAAAGGTTGTTTTAAGTATTGGGAGTGTTGACGATCTTTGCATATGACTAGCGTCACTTTGACCATATTTCTGATGCAGGTTCTCAGCTGGACCTGTATCTTGAAGTAAATTTCTGCTGATAAAGTTGGTACCTGCAAGGATGGAACCAAATATTTCATGAAAAATTACCGACTCCATTCCTCAAGCCCGACACCGAAGCGTTCAACAACAATAATACCTTAAATCTGCAGCGTGGAAATTTACAAAGGAAGACGCTTTTTAGAGAACGCAAAGTAAGAGAAGCTTCGCCGAAATTTCCTCCGCCGAAAGTAAGCCTTGGCGAAATTATTTTAATCATATTTTTTTTTCTTTTCCCGTTTTCATTTTTCTTTCTTTTTCTTTTTCTTTCCACAAGTCATCCTCTCCTTTCCCCCACCCCCTTTTTTCTTTTTCTTTTCTTTTTTTGAGTAATGGATAGCCACACCCTCAACTACAAGAGATTTTTCGGTGGACGGAAACACGAAGCGGTACACCACTTGTTATTATACAAATGGTGAGATATATGTGTTAAAAATTTAATAACTTCAAAAAATACAATTTTTTACCATTTTTTATAAAAACACATGATGCACCTTTCGTGTTCCGATTAGAAGGAAAGAAATTTCCTCAACTACCGTACGCCTTACCCACACACCTGCCGCTTGGCAAGCCCTAGTGGCTTATCTCTCCACCTTCCCTTCCATTTTCTTGTGTCTTTAGTTTCCTTTCCACACTCTCCTGTCTCCTCCCTCAAAACCGCGTCTTTCATAACCTTTCTTTTCTCTTTCTCTTTTTCTATTTTTTTATTTTTTTTTATTTTGCTGTTGTGACTTCAAATTATTTCGATCGTTGAATCAGATAAATTGAAGAAGATCAACGGACAGAAATTAACAAAGAAATTTGAGAAGGATAACCACCGTGTAGCGCCTAGGTGCCACATAAGTGGCTGCCTAGGCCAATTTTTAAAACACTGTTTATAGTCTATATCACTGTTGCTTGCAAGATGAACATCTTTATAGTAGATTTATCGTACGTGAGAACAACATTTTTCCTTAATTCTTTCAGCTCATCGACCAACGGCTGCAAATAAACATCAATAAACGTGTCCGGCTCTTCGGTTATTAACATTGTCATCATCATATATTTTTTTCTAAGTGAATTTAAGGCAGCAAATTCTATGGAATTGTGAAGATTGGCCAAGTGTTGTGATTTTAGTTTAGAACCCCGAACAGATTAAACCCATCTGACACAACTACCAATCTGATGTTCTGTGACTCTTGCGCAAAATCAAGGTACATTTGATCAGACTCTTTCCATGCCTTTACATCACATGTGTGTGGCAATAGGCTAGTATATATAAACTGAGAGCAAAAAAATGGTGGAACATTTGAAAATCCCTAAAATACCCTCACTTCATACACAAAAGCAATGAATAACTGTTTAAAAAAACAAGGTTAAAACGTAATAATGTGAACAAATGCTGTATCACATTCACTCCATCTATCGAACGTTCAAATGAATTAAAAAATAGTTATTTTGCCTCGTGCAATTGAACTTGAAGCGAGTGAATTTTCTCCTCTTTATATCAAGTGTTAGGTGTCATTTAGTATTACAGTCTAATAGTATTCCTCTTCACTTGTAAGTGAGAGGTTATAGAATCACATTATTGCTAGCTCATTGTGAGAGGTTAGCCCGCTTCCATAACCCTTAGTGTAGATAATATCATTCGTTCAAAAAAAAAAATCAAGTATTAAACTTAGTTGTGTCGAATAAATTCACAATTAGTATCGTCGAACAAACTCTTTTGCCCTTGATTTGAGAGATTCCCAAGTATCAATCTCCCGTTATTCCCAACAAAAATGTATTGCCTAGATACAAATGCTTGCTTCTTGTAATGCAAAAGCTTACTTTGTTTAGTGTATTTAGGCAGAGATGGCGCTTGACATCAATTAAATCTTTCCAGGGAAGAATATAGTGGATACGAGAAAATATGCCCGCGCGTTGCCGCGGGACTTGAATGTATTAGGCGCAATAGGCATGAATAGTTTCTACAAAAAGCAACTAAAAAGACATAGCACCTAAGAATCAATGAACAACTGGGACATCTTACTCATATGTGAGTCTCAATCCCTAGTGAACAAAAGTACTATTTCTTCTTCAAATTGAATCGAAATCATTGATCAAGCAATTAAACATTCCTACTGGCAAATAATTGACCCCCAAGAGTTGAGTAGATATATAGTGACTGGAAAAATACAAAGTGAGCACCAATGATACTGCACCAGTACAAAGAGCATCACTCATCAGCTAATCTAGCTTGAAATGATAGGGAAAGAACCTTGACTAAGATCTTCAATCACTGAGACAGCCCAAATGAATAGAGAAAAACACAAATAATAAACACGGGGACAAAGAACCTGAGAAGCAGAAACAAACTTCTATGCACAAAAAATTTGTGCAAGTAAACAAACATCCAGTTGTACTGAGACTTTAATGATCCATGTTTAATAATATAACTTAAACCCAACCATGAATTTACAAAAAATTTAGGTAGAATTATTGACATAACTCAGAAAAAAAAAAAAGACTCAACTTTGCAATTAAATTTCTTACATAACTTAAACCCGACAAATTTAACTAATTAGATTCATCCACAAAATAGATTTTAACATAACCTCAAAGAGTTTCTTCTAACCAAGTAAACCATTACTCAACAAAAAACATGTAGACAAAGCTCTTATCAAAATCATAATATTGTAATGAACAGGAACTTCGCTACACACTTTTCCAAAACGAAGGAAAAATCTACTTTGTAACTTAACTTAATATACGAAACCACCAATTTAGTCACCTAAAATTCATAACCAACAAAGAAAACAACTCCAAATCCTCAGGTTTACACATGTATGAGCCAAAGGTCAAGTTTTTACAAAATAATCATCCCACAATATGAAAAAGCAGATCGAAAAATTTAATTTAAGGTTCAATTTTTACAGACACGGATCATTTTATACACTATAAGCATACATAAAAACATAAAACTTGACAAATTTTCATTAACTTATCAACGAATACAAAGAACTTAGTGGGTCCTGATGAATGAAAAATAATTCAGAATTGTTTTTACATCTTTATTATATTCTAAGTTTTTCACGGAGCCAAATTAAACCAACATGCTTAAAAGAAAAATTTGATACCTGTAAGGCTGGAGACTGCTTTCAAGGCCTTTTTATTTTCTCTGTCGTTATGTAAATCCAATTTCACTACCACCTTCTGCAGAAAGAAAACAATTTTCAATTAAAAAATTGTTTTGGGAGAGAAATGGAAATTCATTAATACAAATACCAATACCGATTTCTGGGATTTTAGGGTTCTGTTACCCTTGCAACTGAAAGCGTAAAAATCCCAAAAAAATGCCAAGAAGCTTAAGCAGAAAAAATCATATTTTCAACAACCAAAACCCAACATCGATTTAATCATAAACAAAAGAAGAAATTAAAATCTAAACAAAGTCACAAATTAACGAATTGAAAACCCACAAAAAAAAACATAAAATAAAAATAAGCAACTGACTTTAAAACAAAGAATAAATACACAGAACAGAGAAGAATACCCAAAATGAGAGAAAATGAAACAAATATATAGAGAGACAACCATCCCCAAAAACCTGACCTAACTGTACTAAGATATATGGCCAATTAATTGTTCAACCGGTAATGGATTGCTGGATATTCTTAGCTGCCCTTGTAGTTCCTGTTTGTCATATTCGAACACAACTCAGGAAAAATAAATATAAACACAAAGAGGGAAGAAGATATAAGACAATTACCTATTTAGTGAGTTCTTGGACCTATTTAAAGGGTCACTGGAATGAAATGAAGCCAACTCTGCAACAGAGAAGCAAACTAAAAGTCAAAATCCAGAAATTCAAGTTTAGCTCAAATCAAATATAATAACCAATTAAGTGAACCTTTGCTTGCTATATATGGATATGCATGCTATAAGAAACCATTCATTTGTAGATCATATAGCATCATCAGTATTATACTCATTGTTTCATGTAATCAACCTAGTACATGGGGAAAACACAGAAAAGGGAAAGTAGAAAAGTAGAAGACATAATACTTGAGTATTTGGCAGAAATAGTTAGCTTTTGAAAAAAATTGCTAAACTGTGTTACAAATTCAATCGTTAGAGTTGTTAAAATTCACTTTCATCTGTACAATTCAAACTTCCACACATGTATTCGTACAGTTTACCAATTGGCACACACTGCTAATTGCCAATATAGCAAGATAATGAATTCCGTTAACGAAAAAAAAGGATATGCAACTTAACTTACCATGCAAAAGAAGCTCCATAAGAGTTCAAAAATAATACTCACTTAAAACAATGAGTACATTCTAATCCAACAAATACTAAAACAGAATAGTGCCAGCATAACGACTTGGCACGTTAACCTTTAGGACATCTAAATTATCATATAATTTCCAATAGGTCACGATAGATTTTAGGGGCTCATAAACAATTAGCCTAATCTTTTTCTTTCATCTTGGCCTACAATATTAAAATGCAACCAAATCTTCAACGTCAAAAATGAGAAGATGACTTTGATTTCTTTATAAGAAAAGTCAATAACCTTCCAATTGGCCGATGCTTATCCAATAATCCAAATATATTTGTATTGAATTATGATATGACACCGTAAGTTTCAAGCATTTAAATTAAATTTGTAGTAAAAAGCGTAGGCAAATGAAGAATAATGTTCTCTTCCATATCTCAACCTTATGCTTGCAATGTATCCTTTGCTTCTTTTTTGTCTTCAGCATCTACAGTTCTTTAAGGCAGGTTTTGCAGCGTCTGCATTCACCTATATAGGGTTTAAAATTTTTTAGTCAGAGAGTAAGGAGAAACAAAATGAAATGCTCCAAGGGGTAAACCCCAGCAAGCAATAAGAGTATATTTTGAATGCAAAATGGCAATTAGGAGTCATAAGTACCTTAAAAAAATACTTCTGAAGCGCAAACAGTCCCATATAAGGGTAAGAAAATTAATAGAGCAGAGAACAAAGTACTCACTATAAAACATTTTAGTTCTTTAAGAAAAATAAAGCAGGGTTCAAAAAGGATAATGAAGCATACCAGTAGGTTCCCAATATCAGATAATGATTTCTTTCTTGGCCCAAGATTGTCATTTGATTCTGCCGGCTTCTGAACTAAAGCATTCTGAAGTAGCATTGCACCTTAGGAAGCCACTGAGCTATCCTTCTCCACTTCAGTTGTATCTAAGCAGTTCAAAATGCCATCAGCCGTCTCTGATTGTGACAACTCATTCAACTTAATTTGGTTATCATTTATAGCCTAAATCAAACTACAACTTTATCCCGTGAAATCAAGGAAAACTACCTGTGTCCAATTTCATGTCAACACCTCAATTTATATCGCATCCAATTAAACTACTACAACAACATACTGACAAAGTGAACATGGAAATTCATATACCATTTGACAATACCAAATCAAGCAATTTCTAAAGACCATAAATAGATCCTACAAAGCAAAAACCCTATCTCATATGCATTAAAGCGATTAACAAACTCTCGGTGAATCATCATAAAATTAACCCAATTTCTCAATTCCAAAAACAGGAAAGATTAAGAAAGGGTTCTGAGTTCTCACCATAACCAAAATAATCATATTGTTTCAGTTTGAACTCGGGTCAATTTCCATCATCTGCATTAACAAAAACAACAACTTATGTCAGTGCATTCCACCATAAATCAATTCCTAAAATCAACTGCATATCACAAAGTTACCCAAAAGACACAAAATACCTGAAAATTACTATATTAGCACTCCCTCCCCCCCAAAATCAGAAATCTAGAAAATAGAACTTGATAGCATTGTACGTAGAAAGCAAGGTATCAATAATTTAGGTGGTTTCCCAGGACAATAATGAGCTTGCAGAGATCATATTCATACATGGATGCACAAACACACAGAGACACTACAGAGACCATTTGATGAAAAAAAAAAAAATAGAGATGCTCAGAGACTCAACACACACTATTTATAGATCCATGACTTAGAAATTCTCAGATCTGGTTAAAATTAATAAAATAAAATAAAAATTAAGGGATGTGAAATAGCTCTTATAGTCTGGGCTCTGTTACCCTGATTCCTTCACCGGCTTGAGGCAAACCTGAGGAGATCGGCAATTAAAGGATAAGAAAACTGGCGGCCATGTTTTAGTTTTGTGATAGAGAGAGTTCAAGAGAAAAAAGAAGAAGGGGATACCCCTTCCCTTCTGAGATCATCTATAACATCTGAATTACTTAACACCCATACACTATATTTACACAACTACACTAATCAATACTCATAACACATCAATGGTCCAACAATTATGGAGCTCGAAATTTCTATGAGGGCCAATCAAATCATAAATTAAAATGAAAACATGTAAGTAATTAAGAATTATTACTTGCTCAGTCAGCTCCTTCTTGTCACTTCAAGGATTATTCAATTCAACCTGATTCGATCAAACTGCATCACTCAACAAAACAAACAAAAAATAAATTAAAAAAAAAAATCAGGGGAGCTAAATAAATATACACTGACCTACTTTTTGGCTAGAAAACCCAAAAAGAGCAATTAAACAGCAGTGCATAATGACGGAATTTCTATGAAAAAATATGAATGAGTTTTCAATTAATAATTGAGCCCGAAATAAAGAAGGCCTTTCTCATCTTGATGCAGGGCGGATAACAAAAACATTATGTATGGATTAATGTATAATATTTGAGATCCTATCTGTTTTTTATTGACTGATGTTTCAACCCAGTCAGCTAATTCATATCACACATCCATACATACCTGAGAACGCTTATTCCCACCACCATAATGTTGTTGCTTTAGTATGTTTTTTCACTGAGAAGAAAAGGAAAGAGCATCATGAAAAATTTAGTTCCAATATACCTGAGAACAATTCACATGTTATTACCTTAAACAGGAGTTAAAATTACTCACCCTTTTTCTTTTTCATCACACCAAGACAAAACTAAAGGAAGACTTCTAATCCTCTAAATTAGCAAATAGTCTACTATCCTAAATTCCTAATCCCACGTGACTTCGCTGCCCCATGCCTTTGTCCCCTGTCTCCCATTAACTAAAAACACTCCCAAATCACATCAGCCAGCCATACAACAAAGCCACTGGCCACATCAAATATTAGGCACGATTTAGGTAACCAAATTCAACGAATAGAGTTTGGATAACGAAATGCAAAGAACACGATACATAATTGTAAAATTCAAGAACATGATTCAGAGGATTTGAACTATATTGTGTTGAAAACTTACCGAAGAGCGACGATTCCAGGTCGGTAGCGGTCAGGCTTCTTGACTCATCCAGTTGTGGGTGCTGATTTTATTGAAGCCTCAAAATTAAAACAATTAGCAACTTAGATCCAATAATCTGATTGTTTCTCGGAAAAAATAGCTTGCAATTATTGACCCAACACAGATTTTGCAGCATTAATTAAGAGAGAATTATAGTTTTATTTGCTTGTGACTAAATCTTTCTTGTTTTGTGGTAATTTGTATAGCAGACAGCCAAACAATATATATAATTATTCAAACAGATTAAGACTTGTAATCAAATCAAATCGTTTCTGGTGCAGCTGCTGAACAATGAAGAGCCGAAGCGACTCCTGCTTTTGAGTGACAGAAAACTCTGCAGTGACTCGAACAAAGAAATTGAACTAATAATAACAAAGAGTTGGGATCACGATACTCACCAAGACCAGATCGAAACGAAGCACAACCTCTCTCCCCCTTGAAATCTGAAATCCCCACCCAAAAAACCACGCATGGGCCTCCATGACGCAAACGATGGAGTAAGACGACATAGGCGAGGGAAGGCAGACGGCGGTGAGAGGAGGATAGGATGGACGCGAGACCGTCTGTGTCATTCTCGTCGGGTCTGTGAGACGGAAGAGGCAAGGAGGGTTTGAGAATGAAACGAAAAAGACCGCCTTTACCATCGTTCTTCCTTCCCACGATCATCAACACGTATGCATCAAGACTAACGGCAGAGAGGGCCAGTGGTAGTCTTGTAAATAAACTGAAATGTCTTACAAAACACTGTTCATTTCTACAGTGCAATTTTGCCAGCTTCTTTAGACTAAAGTAACTAGTCAACAATATTAACAAAGTACATTTTGCAGGAAAAGTTGAAAATACATTTTGATGGCAACAAGACAAATTGATATAAAAAACTACCGTTTGTTACATAGTTGGACTACTTCAAAGATGTTTTTTTTTTCTTTTAGAGAGGATCCTTGCAGGAATCTGTTTGCTAGGATTCTGAAAATCTTTTAATTACATTCGTTCATCGTACATTGTGCAACTAGTTTTTGTCAAGTACTATTTATATTCAATTTTAAATAAAAAAATTATAATAATTTATGTCTACATGATATACTATAAAAGTATGTAATTAAAGGATTTCCGATATCCTCACAAAAAAAAAACCAGGCAATAATGCTCCTAGGTTAGCCTTGTAACTAGAGACGTTCGCCAAAAGCATAAAAATAAATTATTATCATCAAGTGGAGTTTTGAATTCGGTATGCACGGGTCAAAACTCAATTACCCACATGCGGGGAGCAAATAAGAGAAGCAGGAAAGCAAGAAACTCTAATAATAACGAATGGGGGATTTCATTAAAAAAAAAAACTAACGAAAAAATATTTGAAAATTTTGAGTTTTAATTTAAAATGATAAAAAAGTGTTATAAGTAAATAATACCATGAATGACTTTTTAGAGTACTAAAAATGTCATTTTTGTTAAAAGTAAACAATACCGTATTTCGTTAAAACTCTCTTTCATTAACCGAAGTCCATATATTACCAGAAAATCTCCCCTTTCCAACTTTAAAATTTTCCTTTTCCTTTTGATGCAATCTTTATCATTGCTCTCATGTTACAGATATAAAACATCACCTTATTCTTATTGATAAATCATCCACTGCATAAAATCATATGAAATATAACACACATTAGTTTCTGCGCAACATATGCAGAGAACCAACAAGAAGAAGCACATATTATCCACAAATGATCGTAGACCTTCGAAAATCCAATTATTGTCCGTAGTAGGTAATGCGCTGTGATGGGGGACACAGCGGAAGTTATAGAGCAAAGGGATCACGATCCCGATCTTGTCATGCAGCAAATTATATGGAATTGTGAAGATTGGCCAAGTGCTGTGATTTTAGTTTAGAATCCCGAACAGATTAAACCCGTTTGACACAACTTCCAATCTGATGTTCTGCGGCTCTCGCGCAAAATTAGGGTATATCCGATCACTCTTTCCATGCCTTTACATCACATATGCATGTGGCAATAGGTTAGTGTATATAAACTGAGAGCAAAAAAATGGAGGAACATTTGAAAATCCCTAAAATACCCTCACTTCATACACAAAAGCAATGAATAACTGTCTAAAAAAACAAGGTTAAAACGTAATAACGTAATAATGTGGTTTAACCGTGACCGCACAAAATAGAAGAGCATAGGAAGGGCACCATTTTAGGAGGGCAGACAATCTGCCTCCTTTGACTGCAACCCCTTTTTTCCTTTTATCCATTTCCCCCTTTTTCCACTTTTACCCCCTTTTTTCCACAAAATAGAAGGGCATGGGAAGGACACCATTTCAATATTTCAATGCAGTGTCGATGGGGATAATACTGCAGCAGAAGAGACAGAAACGCATACTCAATTTACAAATGCTGACATGATCTTGCAGAAAGGTTTACGAACTTGCTTAAGAAACGAAAACAATTATTTGTGCATTCTAACTTATAACTCACGCCTCCTCCCATTCAAGTGGCTCAATTTTCTGCTTGTATTTTGCTTTGTCAGCTATGTTTCTGCTTCTTTCTATGTCCTTGATCGTAAGCGTAAATCCTTCAACTTTTGTGATGCACCTAACATTTTTGGTCGAGTAGGAGAAGAAATGCTGACATGATCTTGCAGAAAGGTTTACGAACTTGCTTAAGAAACGAAAACAATTATTTGTGCATTCTAACTTATAACTCACGCCTCCTCCGATTCAAGTGGCTCAATTTTCTGCTTGTATTTTGCTTTGTCTGCTATGTTTCTGCTTCTTTCTATGTCCTTGATCGTAAGCGTAAATCCTTCAACTTTTGTGATGCACCTAACATTTTTGGTCGAGTAGGAGAAGAACCTTCTGATTGATACCCAATCTTGGAGAAGTTCTTCTCCATAAAAATCACCTTTCTGAAAGCACTCATCACCAACAGTATTACCAGTGCTTGAAGAACCCCTTCCATCATCACTTGTAGTTGTGTAGGTCCTCACTGTCCCTTGCGTGATGAATAACATCTTATAAAATGGCTCCCCCTCTCGAACAATAAAGGTATCCGCCTTATAAATCACGGGCTTAAGATACTTGCAGAATACTTCAAACTCTTTCTCACTCACATTTTGAAGCATCGAAACCTAGAGGAAGACGCGTATCCATATGAGAAATATAAAGAGCAAGTCCAACAAAAATGTATTGCCTAGATACAAATGCTTACTTTTTTTAATACAAAAGCTTACTTTGTTTAGTGTATTTAGGCAGAGATGGCGCTTGATATCCATTAAATCTTTCCGGGGAAGAATATTGTGGATATTTATGATATCGATATCTTCATCCGCGTTCAATTTGTGTAATGCACATGTCATGATCTTCTCCTTCCAATCCAACGGGAGGTCATTCTCATCGAACCACGATGCTATCTGTGGACTTCTCTTCTTCATTTCCCTCAACTTTCTGTTCTCCTTTGATAATGCAGCTGTCAACTGGACATACATCTGTTCCACAGCATGTAGGCTTTAGTACACTAAAATTAATAAATTAACTATCTTTGCCAACTTCAAAGATTCTGTTCAATTTGAATGCTTAACAAAGTAGACTGGCAAACGGATCGGGTTTATTGGATTTAAATCGGGTTTGACCCGACCCATTAGGCTAACACATTTAAAAGTACCCAAATGCAAAGTTTACAAGTCTTGCAATTGGCCGTATATATATAATAAACCTTACCAGAGAGTAATCAATAGAAATTATCATTTCATGTGCATTGCATCTGATTCACCTGTATAACGCTTTCTGCATAGCATACTACTACGGTTAAGCCTAATCTTTCTAAACCTGTTTAAAACCTGTTATGGATTCTCTTAATAAAAACATTAATAATTTTGCATACGGAAAAAAATATAGGGAGTCGCTAATGTGGAACAAATATTCAAGGGGGACTGGCATAATATAGGCTCAATTGTTGACCCAAAATGACCCGTTAATTAACGAGTGATTAACAGGTTCACCCGTTACCACCCAAACCGTTAAACATTCATCCAAATACTAATTTTAACGGGTGGGTCGGGTCGGGCTTAAAATGCCAGGTCTAATAGTCACTACCAACCTGCAAAATCGCATTGAGATATATCAGAACTAATAGCAGGCCTGTAACAGAAACAAAAACCGCAAAGAGGTTTTCCCATATATAGTTGCTAGTCTGGAGATTTTGCCCAAAAGAACTGCAGAAAAAGAAACAGAAAACCCTAAATTCAATGAGCTCAAGCAAATCTTATCACTTCTCTTTAGATAATAATAATAGCAATAATGAAGAATGAACCTTATATTTCGTAAGCCCCACCAAAAACAGTGCAAGAATTTCTGTGGAAAATCTGTTGAGCTCAAGATACCAGATCGAATGGCATCAAGAAATATACCGAAATCAAAAAACGTTGCAGCAGGTGGATTTGCGGTTGCAGGGCGGCATAGATTATTCAGAAGCGTGACATTTCTGAATGTATCCTTGTCCCTGCAATTAAAACCTTCAAGTTCACAAGCATTTTCACTTCGACAAGCATATTGCCAGCAATCTATCTCCCGTTGAAGCGAAAAAAAGTACCAAAAAGCTCCGAAAACCTAAAGGGATATTGACGTTAGAAGTTACATGAAAAATTACAAACGTTCTACCATATTTTTGGCAGAAAATGACGTTAATAAACTTATGGAATGATTAAAATAAACTAATTAAGGAATAAGGAATAAGACTTACTTGACTAGCAAGGATGCAGGTAAAGAAGGTGAAAGAAGTTCTAATCCAGAAATTGAAAACACCGTCAATCCATATTTTGGGAGTGTGTTTGGTTATATTCTTCTCGAGAATCTTCCTAAAATCATTAAAGCGTACGACCTGGGTCATGTAATGCAGCACAAGAAGAAAGTTGAGAAACATCCTTGTAGACCTCGAGCCCCTTATTATTTCTGCGTAAAAGAGAATAACCACCTGCACTCAAGCAATAGCAGATTCTCAAACCAACAATTAAATGACGACGATGAATCGATTAGGAACATTTGTCCTAGTTTGTAGTAATTGATATAGCTCGGAAGGGGAAAGGTTGATCTCTTACGTATGGAATAGGAGAAATAGCCAAAATACTAATTAAATTGCATCGCCCCAGAGTTTCCTTAGCTGATCCCCTCCTCCCCACCGCGATACCAACCTCAGGTGTCCCAACCTTATGTACAGGTACAAGCCCACCGATAATGGCAGAAAGGTAACACATGTCAGCGAGCAATCGAAAAGTAAAAGCCACTGCTGCCAATTTTTTGTCCACTGTAACACACATCATGTCTTTATTCACTACAGGAGTGTATAAGAATAAAGGATCCACTAAGACAGCAAACGCCCACACTAGTACAATCACAGAATTCCGAACTTGAAGAAATTCCGCATTCGGACCAAAGATTTCGCAAAATAACAGTGGGAGCTTTTTAGTCGGTCTATTTCTTCCATAATCGATATTGGCACAACTCTCCCCTGTAGTTGCTGCAGGATTCAGAATTGGACTACGGAAGAGAACAAAAGAAATAACAATTGCACCAATCAGGAACAAAAACACATTAAAACTTCACTAATCAACCAGAGCAGTAAGCATAATATATTTCAATATGCCGCAGTTCGATCTATTTGCGTCTCTGGTTTGCCAAACTAACCTCGGAATTCCAGTTCTCTCTTCCTCGCTGGGATTCATGATGTATAAGTTATAACCCAAAGGAGCTTTCTCGACCTATACCTCAAATTTCTGCTGATACAGTCAGTACCTGCAAGTATGGAACAGAATATTTCATGAAAAATTACCGACAACTTCCTGAAGCCCGGCACCGAAGCCTTCAACATCAGTAGTAATACCTCAAATCTGCGCCGCCTCAGATTGGGAAGGGTGGAAATTTGCAAGGAAGAGTCCCGTTTTAGAGAACGCAAAGTAGAGAGAGAGTTTCGCCGAAATTTCCAGCGCCTAAAGTAAGGTTCGGCGAAAACTGATGCGTATGGTGAATTCCCGTTTTGCCCCTTTCTCATTTCTCTTCCGTTCGTGTTTACTCCTAAGGTGCGGTTTGTGGAATTTTTTAAGATCTAGTTTGGTATTACTCTGCTTTGAAAAAAAATTATTTTTATTGTGCTGTGAGAGTAAATATATGTGAAATAAAGTAACAAAATATTTGGTAAATTTTTTTGTAAAAGTGCTTTTGAAAAAAAAAACAGTATTATAATGTTTGGTAAACTTTTATATAAAACTGATGTGAAAAGAAATCGATTTTTCAAAGCTGGGTTTTGCAATTTCTTGTTTTTAGCTTTTTTTCACCCAAAATTGTGAAAAAAAATTAAAGCTGAATGTTTACCAAACACAAAAAAGCTCTCAGCTTTTTTTTTTATGCCAGTTTTTTTTTTTCAGAATCACCTCAGTACCAAATAGGGATTGTCACATCCCGGCCCAGGACGGATCACTTCCCGGGCCGACTCCACCATCGTAGCACGATATTGTCCGCTTTGGGCTTACCATTCCCTCACGGTTTTGTTTTTGGGAACTCACGAGCAACTTCCCAATGGGTCACCCATCATGGGATTGCTCTAACCCCCTTCTCGCTTTACTTCGGAATTCCTACGGAACCCGAAGCCAATGAGCTCCCAAAAGGCATCGTGCTAGGTAGGGATGAGAATATACATTTAAGGATCACTCCTCTGGGCGATGTGGGATATTACAATCCACCCCTCTTAGGGGCCCGACGTCCTCGTCGGCACACACGCGACCATGGTTAGGCTCTGATACCAAATTGTCACATCCCGGCCCGGGGGGACCACTTCCCGGGCCCGCTCCACCACCGTAGCACGATATTGTCCGCTTTGGGCCCCGACCACATCCTCACGGTTTTGTTTCTAGGAACTCACACGAGAACTTCCCGATGGGTCACCCATCCTGGGAATGCTCTCGCGCGCTACTCGCTTAACTTCGGAGTTCCCATGGAACCCGAAGCCAATGAGCTCCCAAAAGGCCTCGTGCTAGGTAAGGATGGGAATATACATTTAAGGATCACTCCCCTGGGCGATGTGGGATGTTACAGGGATGGGCAAAATACCCGCAATTATGGGTAACCGTTTAGATAAATAAACGGTTTTGGGTATAACCGTTTATTCATGAAATTTAAATGGGTGGTTATGGGTATTAACCGCGGTTATAAACGGATAACCGTTTATCCATTTATTTTATATATGTAATGTTGAATATTTTAAAAATAAAATTATATATATATATATGCGGCTGTTTGACAGGGGATGAGAAGTTGTGTTATTAACCCAATAATCACATCTCTTCAATTTGAATGTTACATCTTTTGATTGTTGCTGAAAAGACATGATTCACGGTCAACAAGTGTATTTCTTCTTCTAACCATATTCTCTATCGGCAAAACTTAAATCAATGCTATTGACTATGGTGCATGGTTTATATAACTAATTATAATACAATGTAGCTGATTATATATATATATGTTAATACTTTATATTATGGGTGAAATAATCCAAGAATACCATATTCTAAATAGTTTTCTTAACCAAATAATGCTTGGCAAATATTATATTACCTTCATTAGTAATAGTTAAAAATATCGCCCGTGAACTATTATTTCAATTATTGGAATAGTATAAGGACTTAAAAAATTAAAATACAGAAATGTATGATAAATGTTACTTATAACAGTGTTTAATTGTCAAAAAAAAGAAAATTATGACAATTTTTTTAAAATTTTTAAGTTGTTAAAAACATGTAGACGGATGAAAAAGGGTTAATGGTAAAAAAAAAATATAAACGGGTTAAAAAGGGTAAACGGGGTAAACGGTTATTAAACGGTTACGGTTACGGGTATGGTTAACCGTTTATAAACGGTTATGGGTATGAGTATAATCGTTTAGGCAATTACCCAACGGCTAAACGATTATGCGAGTATGAGCATAAACAGTTATGGGTAACTAACCGCGGTTACCCGCCCACCATAACCATTACCTATCCCTAGTACGAAAACCAGGCATGCTCTTTCCAATTACATTAATCCAGTTTATTATTATTATTTCAACCTGGCAACTATTTCCTAGAAATCACGCAATCTCCCACTTTTGAATTAAAATTTAAAATCGAAAAAATTTAGGTTTTAATCCATAAACTATTTTTTGCTCTAACATTCAATTTTTAGCTCGAAATTAATTGTACCAACATTTTAACATAAAAATATTTTGATTTCGATAAATATTGAAAAATCATTAAACCAACACAATGAAAATTGCTGAACACTATAAAAGAATATAAAACACATGAAATAATATTTTTTTAATTATTTTAGTCGTTGGATTTAAATTTTGACTGTTAGATCTGATCTGATTAGATCTTAACCGTTGAATTCAATAAATTTATAAATACAAAACTAATAAATAATACATATATATGGTGGGCTAGCACATTAACGCATGATTAATTATGAGTTAAATTTGCCCCAAAAAATAAATTTTGAGTTAAAACTCATATTTAGCTTGTCATAGACCAAGTAGTATAAAAATAATAAAGCTTTTGATGCTGTCATGCACTAAATCACTGACTAAATTGTCTTTGAAATTCAAAATATTTTTTAATCATTTTTTTTCTTTCCCCGTTTTTTTTTTCTTTCTTGCTTTTTCTTTCTTTTTCTTTTTCTTTTTCTTTCGACACGTCATCCTCTCCTTTCCCCCACCCCCTTTTTTTTTTCTTTTGTTTTTTTCAGTAATGGATACCCACACCCTTTAACTACTCCACGCCTTACCCACACCCTAGCCACTTGGCTAGCCCCAGTGGCTTACCTTTCCACCTCACCTTCCATTTTCTTCTCTTTTTCCTTTTTTTCTTTTCCTTTCATTTTCTTCACTGTTGTGACTCCAAATTATTTGGACAGTTGAATCGGACGAATTGAAGAAGATCAATGGACAAAAATTAATAAAGATGTTCGAGAAGGATAACCACTGTGTAGCGCCTAGGTGCCACCTAAGCAGCCGCCTAGGCCAATTTTTAAAACACTGTTTATAGTTCACATCACTGTTGCTCGCAAGATGAACATCTTTCTGGTAGATTTATCATACGTGAAAACACCGTTTTCCCATAATTCTTTTAGCTCATTGACCAACGGCTGCAAATAAACATCAATAAATGTATCCGGATCTTCGGTTATCAACATAGTCATCATGATATATTTTTTTCTAAGTGAATTTGAGGCAGTAAAATATACGGAATTGTGAAGATTGGCCAAGTGCTGTGATTTTAGTTTAGAACCCTGAACAGATTAAACCTATCTGACACAACTCCCAATCTGATGTTCCGTGGCTCTCGCGCAAAATCATGGTACATCTTATCAGACTATTTCCATGCCTTTACATCACATATGCGTGTGACAATAGGTTAGTATATATAAACTGAGAGCAAAAAAAATGGTGGAACATTTCAAAATCCCTAAAATACCCTCACTTTATACACAAAAGCAATGAATAACTGTCTAAGAAAACAGGGTTAAAACATAATAATGTGAACAACTGCTGTATCACATTCATTCCATCTATCGAACATTTAGATGAATGAAAAAATAGTTATTTTGCCTCGTGCAATTGAACTTGAAGTGAGTGAATTATCTCCTCTTTATATCAAGTGTTAGACGCCATTTAATATTACAATCTAATTGTATTCCTCTTCATTTGTAAATGAGAGGTTATAGAACCACATTATTGCTAGCCCATTGTGAGAGGTTAGCCCACTTTCATAACCCTTAATGTAGATAATATCATTTGTTAAAAAAAATAAAAATTCAAGTATTAAGCTCAGTCGAGTCAAGTAAATCCACAATTAGTAACATCAAACAAGCTCTTTTGCCCTTGATTTGAGCGATTACCAAGTATCCATCTCCCGTTGTTCCCATTTACCCTTGGTTCTTTACTCCTTTATCGTTCATCCTCCCTCTTTCGTTGTCCATGGCCCAGTGCCCTGTTTGCCCCTTTCCTCCTAACCCCTCTACGTATGCTTTCTTTGACGGAGGTAGATTGTTTGCCCTCTTATTATGTGTCTTCTCCATCCCCTCTTATTTGTACGGTTACGGTTAAGCAACGTCAATATTTTATATTCTTATTACTTTTTGTCTTATTATCTCTCTAAAAAAATTTAATATAAAATGTTGACGTAGCTTAACCGTGACCACACAAAATAAAAGGGCATAGGAAAGGCATTATTTTAGGAGGGCAGACATTCTACATCCTTCTTTGACTGCAACCCCTTTTTCCTTTTTATCCATTTCCCCCTTCTTCCACTTTTACCCCATTTTTCCTTCCTTCCACCTTTCCCTTTGTTTCCATCCTCCTCTTCACTTTTTTCTGGTTTCCCCTTTCTTACCAACAAACTTCAACAAAAACATAATCTTTATACAAAAAAGGACGCCTTGCGTGAAGGATGAGAAGCAACCGGAGTCTTACGTTTTTCGGGAGACAGCGAGGGCACTGCTTCACTTCTCCGGAGGATATGTGCGTTTCGTGGTCTAATCTGGATATTCCTTTTCTCCGCACACAGTAAAGCAGCATCTACAACTGATTACAAGAAAATAGCATACTTGAGAAATGCCATGGTTTATTATTGCTACCTTAGACCAACTCCAACAATGGCTTATAACCTAAAATTCCTCTTCCCCCAAAACCCACTCCAACCCATGTGCTAGACAAAACGTAAAACCCAAAGCTCAAAAGAAGGCCAGATACCGGCCCTTTTTTAGGCCAAAAGTCATTATGGGCCCTACCTGTTGTGAGTGAAACACGGGCTGTGAAGCCCAGATGCTTGAGCCACTCGCCCAACGCGCAGCAACGCGCCAGCCAGATTCCCACGGGGACCCCACCCACGTGGGCGTGTCTCCTGCTGTCAGTAGCCTACCGGCTACTTTTTTTGATCGAACGACCATATTTAAATGGGACGTTGGTTAATCCAACGGTCCAGGTTCAAATTATTATTTCTTTTAGTTTTATATTTATATATTTATGGAATCCAACGGCTTAGATCAAATATAATGAAATTTAATGGTAAAAAAAAAAAAAAAATCTAACGGTCCAAATTTAAATCCAACAGCTAAAATAATTTTTAAAAATTATTTAACTTAAAATTCAATCAAAATCAGAAAGGTTTTACGAATTTGCTTAAGAATTGAAAACAATTTGTACTTTCAATTCTCTCCCATTTCTCCTATGCCTTTTTTCATGTCCTCGATCGTAAGCGTAAATCCTTCAACTTTTGTGCTGCACCAAACATTTTTGGTCGAGTGAGAGATGGTCCTTCCAGTTGATTCACAAGCTTGGAGAAGTTCTTGTCCACAAAAATCACCTTTCTGAAAGTCATCACCAAGAGTATTGCCAGTGCTTGAAGAACCCCGTCCATCAGCAACTGAAGTTGTGTAGGTCCTCACTTCTCCTTGCGTGATGAATAAAATCTTATCAAATTGTTCCCCCTCTCGAGTAATAAAGGTGCTCGCCTTATAAATCACCGGCTTAAGATACTCGCAGAATACTTCAAATTGTGCCTCACTCACATTTTGAAGCATCGGAACCTAGAGGAAGACGCATATATATGAGAAATATATAAAGAGCAAGACCACGAGTTAATTTTATTTTATTTTATTTTAATACGAAAGCTTACTTTGTTTAGTGTATTTAGGCAGAGACGGCGCTTGATATCCATTAAATCTTTCCGGGGTAGAATGTTGTGGATATTTATGATATTGATAACTTCATCCGCTCTCAATTTGTTGCCTAATGCAGATGTCACGATCTTCTCTTTCAAAGCCAAAGGGAGGTCATTCTCCTTTAACCAATCTTCTATCAGTGGACTTATCTTCTTCTTCATTTCGGTCAACTTTCCATTCTTCCTTGATAATTCAATTATCCCCTGGATATACATCAGTTCCACAGCATGTAGGTTTTAGTATACTAAAATAATAAATTAGCTTTCTTTGCCAACTTGAAAGATTTTGTTTAGTTGGAATTTTTATTCGAAAACTTGGTAGTCAGTACCAACCTGCGCAACAGTAAAGATATATAGAGAAGCTAATACCCAGCCGAGAAGACAAACAGAAAGAGCAAAGAGGGTTTCCCATGCATTACTGCTAGTCTGGAGATTAGTCCCCTTAGAACTGCAAAAAAGAAACAGAAAACCCTAAATTAAATGAGCTCAAGCATATCTTATTTCTCTTCAGATAATAACAATAGCAGTAATGAAAAACGAACCTTAGATTTTGTAAGCCCCACAAAAAACAGTGCAAGAATTTCCGTGGAAAATCTGTTGAGCTCAAAATACCAGATTGAATGGCATCAAGAAATATACCGAAATTAAACGACGTTTCAGTTGGTGGATTTGCAGGGCGGCATATATTATTCAGAAGCGTGACATTTCCGAAAGTATCCTCGTCCTTACAATTAAAACCTCCAAGTTCACAACCATTTTCACTTCGACAAGCATATTGCCAGCAAACTGTTTCCAGTTGAATTGCAAAAAAGTACCAAAAAGCTCCGAATACCTAAAGGGATTTTGACGGTAGAAGTTACATGAAAAATTACAAACGTTCTACAATACTTTTGGCAAAAAATGACGTTAATAAACTTATGGAATGGTTAAAATAAACTAATTAAGGAATAAGGAATAAGACTTACCACACAAGCATGGAAGGACTTAAACAATATGAAAGCACTTCTAACCCCGAGTTTGAAAACAGTTTGAGTCCATATTTCAGGAGCGTCTTTGGTTATATCCTTCTCGAGTTTCTGACTAAACCAATTAAATTGTATAAACCGGACTATGTATTGCGGCACAACAAGAAAGTTCAGAAACATCTTTGAGTGCCTTAGCATTTTTGCGAAAAAGGGAATAACGACCTGCAAAAACCAACAATTAAATGACGATTTTGAATCAATTAGGAATATATGTCCCAGTTTGTAGTAATTGATATAGTTCGGAAGGGGAAAGGTTGATCACTTACGTATGGAATAGGAGCAACAGCGAAAATATTAACAATTAAATTGCATCGCCCCAGAGTTTCCTTAGCCGATCCCCTCCTCCCCACATTTGGACCGGCCTGAGGTGTCGCAACCTCACGTGTAGGTACCAGCTGAACGATAATGGCAGAAAGGAGATAGAAGTCTGTGAGGAATCGCAAACTAAGAGCCACTACCGCCAACTTGTCAATCTTGATACACTTCATGTCTTTGTCGACTGTAGGAGTGAATAAGAATAAGGGTTCCGCTGAGACAGCAAAACACAACAGTAGTACAAACACAGCATTCCTAACTCCATTCGGACCAAAGATTTCGCGACATGACACTGGTCTATTTCTTCCATAATCGATATTGGCAGAACCCACCTGCAGACTACCGAACAGAACACAAGAAACTTGAATTATAACACTTCCTTCACAATTGGCAGAACTATAGTAAGAACAAGAAATAAGAAAACAGATAAGAGTTTCATGATTACATTGGGTTTGAAAACCCTAGATACAAAAGGATTACAACCAGAAAAATAAGAAAACAGATTACAACTGGGTTTCAAAAAAAAAAAAAAAAAAAAAGAAAACAGATTACAACCATACGTTCAAAAATACAACAGAAGAACAAATACTAAACAGCCCTAAAAACAAGGAACATCTGGAACGATAAGAGTTTGAACGAAGTCAAACTCCATAAGTTTCGGCAATAAGCTTAGCATGCTGATCTTGTCTAACAATACCTACTTCTCAATCCTATTTTTTCGCCTGCAATCATGTATAAGTGCCTAGATTTACGAAACAAACCTCGAATTTCCAACTCTCTCTACCTCAGGGCGATTCATGTGTAACCGGAAAGGAGATTTCCCGAAGTATTTCATGAACAATTACCAACTACTGCGTTGGGGTCCATTAATATAGAACAGAGGCGGTTCGTAAAATCACACGCGGGCCAGGAAGGTTCGTAGAAATACCAGAAAAATGGTTTGAAAGGTCCACGGATATTTGTTGAGACATTTCAAGTTTAATATTCTTATTTACTTCTGCAATTAAATGGGTTTAAAAAATGTCAAGAATTCATCCTAAAACATACATAATTTTACGGAAATACTATTACGTGACAATATTTTCTCTGTTAAGTTTTCATGCATGAAGAAGTGGCTTGTGATTTTGGGGAATAAGAAGAAACGACTTAATTCCTTAATTTTTTACTATTAAATGATTTTCTCTCTCCTGATTAATTGATAAGTAATTATTAATTGTTAATCGTTAACCATGATTCTCTTATGGGACACGTGTCAATCTTTAGAAATGGTGGTAAGCATATCTTAGAGTTTACCGTGGTGAGCATACCTTAGAGTGTAGGATGGTGAGTAAAAATGCTTATGAATTATTTCTGGATTAACTTTAAAGACTAAACTGAATTAGCTTGATATGAACTAAATAGTATAAGAATAATACAATACTTAATGCAGTGTTGAACTGATTCCACACGTCCCTTTCTTCTTCTCTCTACCAGTCCCGTCTACCTGACCTTTTTCTTTCTTTTTAATAATAAATTGTTTTTTCGGTTTAGAGTAAGGTTTAGTAGTCCCTTACCTTCCATTTTGCTTCCTTTCCTTTTCTTTTCACACTTTCTCCTCTCTAAAAAACAGTGTTTTTGATGATATAATAGGAATTCTTAAGACTCGAATTATCTGTAATAACTCTTTGAGCTAATTTTTTAGGTGATCCCACCCCTTATTTTGCCAAGAAAAAAACTTTCATTACCCTTTTTTTCTCTTTTTTTTCCTTTTTACTTTTCTTTACTGCTGTGACTCCCCTAAATTATAAAAAATTTGACAAAAATGGCCCATTTTTGTCTTAATTGTACCAATATATGCCATTTTAAAATAGGAAAGTTTATGAAAAGTTTTTTAAAAAAAATTATTTTAATGAAAAATGAAAAATACAAGTGTAATAAATAGTATCAAAAAAAATATAAAAAATAATTTTTCGTTAAAGGTAAACAGTACATTCTTTTAAAATCGCATATATTTGATGTAAAGGTTGTTTTAAGCATTGGGAGTGTTGACGATCTTTGCAGATGACTAGCGTCACTTTGACCATATTTCTGATGCAGGTTCTCAGCTAGACCTGTATCTTGAAGTAAATTTCTGCTGATAGAGTTGGTACCTGCAAGGATGGAACCAAATATTTCATGAAAAATTACCGACTCCATTCCTCAAGGCCCGCACCGAAGCGTTCAACAACAGTAATACCTCAAATCTGCAGCGTGGAAATTTACAAAGGAAGACGCTTTTTAGAGAACGCAAAGTAAGAGAAGCTTCGCCGAAATTTCCTCCGCCGAAAGTAAGCCTTGGCGAAATTATTTTAATCATATTTTTTTTTCTTTTCCCGTTTTCATTTTTCTTTCTTTTTCTTTTTCTTTCCACAAGTCATCCTCTCATTTCCCCCACCCCCTTTTTTCTTTTTCTTTTCTTTTTTTGAGTAATGGATAGCCACACCCTCAACTACAAGAGATTTTTCGGTGGACGGAAACACGAAGCGGTACACCACTTGTTATTATACAAATGGTGAGATATATGTGTTAAAAATTTAATAACTTCAAAAAATACAATTTTTTACCTGAGAGTGATCAATAGAAATTATCATTTCATGTGCATTGCATCTGATTCACCTGTATAACGCTTTCTGCATACTACTACGGTTAAGCCTAATCTTTCTAAACTTGCTTAAAACCTGTTATGGTTTCTCTTAATAAAAACATTAATAATTTTGCATACGGAAAAAAATATAGGGAGTCGCTAATGGGGAACAAATATTCAAGGGGTACTGGCATAATATAGGCTCAATTGTCGACCCAAATGATCCGTTAATTAACGAGTGATTAACGGGTTCACCAATTACCACCCAAACTGTTAAACATTCACCCAAATACTAATTTTAATGGGTGGGTCGGGTCGGGCTTAAAATGCCAGGTTTAATATTACAAAGACCCAGTAGTCACTACCAACAGCTGCAAATAAACATCAATAAACGTATCCGGATCTTCAGTTATCAACATAGTCATCATGATATATTTTTTTCTAAGTGAATTTAAGGCAGCAAATTATATGGAACTGTGAAGATTGGCCAAGTGCTGTGATTTTAGTTTAGAACCCTTAACAGATTAAACATGTATGACACAACTCCCAATCTGATATTCAGAGGCTCTCGTGCAAAATCAGAGTACATCCGATCAGACTATTTACATGCCTTTACATCACATATGTGTGTGGTATTCTAGTATATATAAACTGAGAGCAAAAAAAATGGTGGAACATTTGAAAATCCCTAAAATACCCTCACTTCATACACAAAAGCAATGAATTACTGTCTAAGAAAACAGGGTTAAAATGTAATAATGTGAACAACTGCTGTATCACATTCACTCCATCTATCAAACATTTAGATGAATTAAAAAATAGATATTTTGCCTCGTGCAATTGAACTTGAAGCGAGTGGATTTTCTCCTCTTTATATCAAGTGTTAGGCGTCATTTAATATTATAGTCTAATAGTATTCCTCTTCATTTGTAAGTGAGAGGTTATAGAACCATATTATTGCTAGCCCATTCTGAGGGGCTAGCCCACTTTCATAACCCTTAATGTAGATAATATCATTTGTTCAAAAAAAAAAAATCAAGTATTAAGCTCAGTCGTGTCAAGTAAATCCATAATTAGTAACGTCAAACAAGCTCTTTTGCCCTTGATTTGAGTGATTCCCAAGTATCCATCTCCCGTTCTTCCCATTTACCCTTGGTTCTTTACTCCTTCATCCTTCATCCTCCCTCTTTCGTTTTCCACAGCCCAGTGGTCTGTTTGCCCCTTTCCTCCTAACCCCTCTGCATATGCTTTCTTTGACAGAGGCAGATTGTCTGCCCTCCTGTTATGTGCCCTCCCCATCCTCTCATATTTGTGCAGTTATGGTTAAGCAAGGTCAATATTTTATATTCTTATTACTTTTTGTCTTATTATCTCTATAAAAAAAATTAATATAAAATGTTGACGTGATTTAACCGTGATTGTATAAAATAGAAGAGTATAGGAAGGGCATCATTTTAGGAAGGCAGACAATTTGCCTCCTTTGACTGCAACCCTTTTTCCTTTTTATCCATTTCCCCCTTCTTCCACTTTTACCCCCTCTTTCCTTCCTTTCACCTTTCCCCCTGTTTCCATCCTCCTCTACCCCCTTTTTCGCTTTCCCCTTCCTGAGATCATCTCCAATGGTTGGGTTAAAAGTCAAAATTTTTAGCCCAGAAAATTTAGCTTTTAGCCCAAGAACAGTTTTTCTGCTCCAACCGTTCTAGTATAAAATTTTAGCTCGAGATTATTAAAGAATGAACTTAGGCTATTTTTTTTGTTAAATTAATTTTTTTAAAATAAATATGCAGATTATCGTAAATTAATTTTATGAACATTTTAATCTAAAAAAATTTAAATTCCAATAAATATTGGGTGAAGTCCACTTCGATTTATGGGCTAAATTTTAGGAGGAATTTGACATTAATTTAGCATTTTACCCAAAATTTCCCCTTGGGTTGGAGTGGGTTTGGAGGAAAATTTTGAAGGATAATTTAACTTTTAACCCACCATTGAAATTGGTCTTACACCTCCACGTTCCTCAATCCGGACTGGCTTCATCCTTCATCGACTTCGCAATCAGCTCCCACTTATCTTCGCCTCAATTTATGTAATTATGTTGTGTTAGTAATTAATAAAGTAACCTTTGTCAAAAAAAAAAAAAAATTCAAACCATTTTGTTTTTGGTTTTCACATTGTTTGGTTGTGTTTATTTTGATTCCCTGGGGCAAGAGCCAATAACTTGAACGATTTTACCAACTTCAACAAAAACATAATCTTTATACAAAAAAAGGACGCCTTGCGTGAAAGATGAGACGCAGTACTTTCGTGTTACAACATCCAGCACAAAGAGCAAACTATGTGTCCTATTCGTGTAAAAAATGGAAAGTTATCTTCGTATGTTCATTGGTCCATTCGGTTCATATATTGATCACAGGCTTCACCAGCCAAGAACCCTCATGATTAGTGACAAAGAAAAACGACGAATAAAAAGCAGATAACCTACAAAGACAAAGTCGACACCCCAATTTCAATTCTTCTGTGAAATTTACCCTCTTTGTGTAAAGGACAGCGATTTTCATACTCTCGTTTTCTCCTCCTGCATTTTTGTTTCTATGCATTGGTTCTTCTTTACTCATTCAATCCAACGGCTTGAGTAAAAAAAAAGGAAGGTGTGCAGGCGGAGAAAGAGGAGTGCGGAAATCACACGAATCCCTATGCAAATCAGTTTAAAGTTCTACAAAACTCAATGATCATAGTAAAGCTCCAGAAAAACAAAAATTCAAATCTTATTTTCTCAACAGATAAAAATCAAAGAAGACTAAGTGAACAATAAATATTGTGGAAACCTCACCTGAAAAGCCTTGGAAATTATATCATCGTGAAGGGAAACATGGTTTCTGCAATTACAACAGCTGTACAAACTAGGCCCTACCAAATCCGCCATTAACAAATAAATCCACAGCTCCAACCTCTAAACACCTCCCACTGCTCGGCAACCAGAGAAATGCAAAAGAAACAGAGAAAACTTTCACACAGGAGAGAAAAAATCTGTTAAAATTAAAACACGAAAATATGGATTAAGAGAAAGATTATCAATTTAATTACCTACAACAACATCAACAGTGACCCAGAAGCCTGCAAGCAAAGATAGATTATCAACCGAATTAGCGTGCAAGATCCAAAAGTAAAATATTAAATTTAAAAATTTGAATAATTGGGTTTTGAAAGAGACAGGATTTGCAATTAAGGGTAAGCAAAAAGAACATTTAGAAGAATAAGATTAACAAACCCAGATTAAAAAATGATTAAACAAGTGATTAGGAAAGGGAAAGTTGGA